TGTGTGTGTGTGTGTGTGTGTGTGTGTGTGTGTGTGTGTGTGTGTGTATACATGTGCTATCTATTGTTCCTATAACAACTTATAACTATCACTTATCATAACTGTTTTAAATTATTTTATTATACTATACTTAAATATTTAATTTTAATTATGTACCTATAATTGCTTAAACGTACATCATTACAATATGTTCAGTGTTTATACTGTAAAAAGCAACAGTTTTTTTCATTAACAGAAAAGTTCTATTATTTTAAATATTAAATTAAAAAAAAAAATGTATTAGTAAGTCAAGTTTCTGAAATATACAGTGAAATAGTATTTTGAGAGAATATCTATTACTTAATTTGTTAGTAGTGACTATTTGTTATTCTATTTTAATGAAAAAATATAATATCTAAACAATTTAGTTACTATATTTTACAATACAATTATTTATATTATATTAAGCTATTCCTGAGCACATTTTAATATAAATTATCATTTATGAGTACTATATATTTATGATGTGATAAATCTGGAAAACTTGTAAAATGTATTAAAATATTATATATTTATACTTAAAAATAGATGTATTATGTTAATGTTTTTCTCATCATATGTATTGATTTTTAGGAACTAGTGACTTTGTCATCAATTGATATAATAACTTGTAATATAAAAACATCTATAACTCCAAAGCAGTATACAATTGCAATAGAAAAGAACATTTATTTTGAAGTATCTTATGCACCTATGTTGGTAAATTATATTACTCGTCAAGATACTTTAAGTTTGGCTCATCTTTTGCATATAAAAGGAAAATCAAAAGTAAAAAATAAACTTTTTATGTTCAAATAACTTTTATTAAAATGTACTTTTATTTCAGAATATAATCATTTCGAGTGGAGCAGTTAATAAATTAGATATACGTAATCCACACGATGTGATGAATTTGTATCCTTTGAATAATAAAATTAAGTTTTATGATATGCTGATGTTTAAGTAGGAAATATCAGTGTGTATGATACTGAAGAAAAGTTTTAATTAGTAATAACTAGAGACCGGAATTTTATGCATATGCATGTTCATACTGAGTGTATGCACTTATACGAGGGTTTGATTTGATTCTATAGACCAAATTTAATTTTGCATATAATGGCATATTTAGAAGGTTGGGGCATATTTTTTCCTATGTACATATAATGTGCATATTTTTTACAATCTTAATAAATAATCAAATTATTTCATGTTTTTATTTTGGAAATTATTGTAGTTTTTAAATACTGTCATGTTGGGAAAAAAAAATTACCGTCAACACAGTATAGAATTTTATCTTCTCTAGTTTAATACTGTGTTAATAACTATTATCTAACAAATTGAATTAATTTTAAAGTTACTTCTTAAAGTTGTGTAAAAATTTAGTATTCATTTATTGGCAATACTGTAAATTTTGTTATATTTCAATTTTTATTTGTTTAAACTGTTTTAAAAACATATAATGATATTTTTTTTATATTTAAATATTTTATTGATATACTGAGATATTGAAAGGACCAACATTCCTAATTTTGTTATATTTATTTGTTTTATTTGTTCTAATGTTTTGTAGTTGTTTAAAATAACATAAATTTATGATACATATTTAAGCATACTTTTCAATTATTTATGCATAATAGTGCATATTTTGACCCTTTAGTTTTGTATATTTGCCACATTATTAGTGCATATAATTCCGGTCTTTAGTAATAACTATACTTTCTATAAATTGGTAATCTTTGCCAAGAAAAAGTAATTGATACTGACCAAATAATTTTCATACATTTATGATATATTTTTTTTTTAAAGATAAAGAATCAAGAATCAAGTATGCTAACAAAAACATAAGTATTCTTAAATATTTATATTTTTTTGGATTTGATAATAGGAACATAAATTTTATTTTTATTAATTAGGTAACATTGTTTAATTTATTTTTGTTTCTAAAGTTACTATTAAAAATTTAAAAACTCTTACCATTTTAAATAACTATCATGAACCTTGTTTATTTTTATGTTTTATTATATTTGACATTTTTTTACTACTATTTAAGATTTATAAAATATAAGTAATTAAATATTTTATAGTAAATTAAGCACATCATATTTTTCTTATTAATTTCAATATAAACATACTTAACTATAAGTTCAGAGGTATTTTGCTAGGGCTTTCAAGGAAACAGTCAAAAGAATCAATCACACAAAGTTATTCGATTATATCGAATAAATTACAGAGCTGTATGTTATTAAAAATTAAAAGTATTAAATAAACAAATATTATACAAACTTACATATTTCAGATGGGAAAAAAATAGGAAAGTCAGCAATTAATATAATGCCAAGAACCACCACATCATAATATTATAAATAATTTATAAAATTTATGTGTATTTAATGGTTTATTTTTATTTTTGATAAAAAAAATAATATTGTTTGATAGATAGTTTTTAACTATGCAAAATAAGCTCTCAGAATCAAAAAAGTTTATGTATTTTATTTATTTAAGATTTTTTTATTACAGTACTAAAATGTAACTACTTATACATTTATTAAGGTAAATTAAACTAAAAGCAAAAATATATAAGTAATTTTTTTAGATATATTTATAAATTATACAGTTAAATTAGCTCGACTCTATTATTGTACATTTTGGCATATAATTACTAATGAATGGTCTTGTGTTTTCATCACATGTGAATTAATTATATTTTACATATTGTTTGAATAATTAAATTTTAATTCAATTGTTTAACTAGTGGCTGATCCAATGAAAGAATAATTACTTCTCTACCACCACTGAGCTTACTGTTATAAAAATGTTGTAATTTTTCTTCTTAATTTGTTATTCCTAATGTCTCTAAGACCTAAGTCCTGCTTTATTTCATCTATCTATCTCTTCTTTGGGTGTCCTTTTGGTCTTTCCCTATGGGTTTCAATTCGACCGTCGCTTTTGGGTTCTCATCACTTATCCAAACCATTTGATTCTTTGTGCTTTCACAAAGTTGGTTACCCTCAAAACTCCTATCAATATCTTTGTTTCTTCTATACCAGCATTCCAATTCATTGTCAATTGTTATATACTGGATAATTCGCAGTATGTTTTTTTCTAACAACATAAATTTTTGCTCCATTCAGCTTGTTAATGGGCAATGGCTTTACTTCGCATTCATATGTTAGGTTTGATCTATGTTGCTTCGCGACCATTCCTACGAGTGTTGTGGTTTTCGGCTGTGACTCTTGAAATGTTGGTGACAAAATGTCACCAACATTTACCCAATAGTTGTCATACATTATAAATAAGGTAATAATTGTAGAGCGATGTGCTAAGGTTATAATAAATATACAACGTCTGTTTTCGCTGCGACAGAGCTTACGATAGAGGGCAGTTTTCTGCCGCAACTTGCGCAGATGATAGACAAAGGATCGGGTGACCAACTTATAAATATTTACGAAATACTCAAAATTTAAGAATGACAATATCACTGCAACGCCTAGCGTACAGTATACATATATATTACAAATAAATTATATATATGAAAAGGTTCGTATTGACTAATAATTAATAATATGCGGGCGCCCAGAGCATTTACATATAAGATAATATAGTATAACAAATTAATAAACAATAATTACACCTATAATAATGTGCGCTAATAAAATTTTATAGGCCTTTAAGTACAAGGACCTTCAATGCCACAGGTATAAAAGAAAATATATAATAATACGTAATCGTATACTAATAATAACAGTTGGGCATTAAGGTCATAGTATACAAATAATAATTTTACTGGCCACTGAACACGAGGGGACAAATATGAGTAGAATAACAATGTAGGACCTGATGGCGACAGCACTGGACCAACTGGCTCCTTGACACCGATGACGACTGTAGCTGATGCAAACAAGCTCTTCGTTGACGAGTTAAAAAAAAATGACACCTCGTGATCACATGCGGTTTTGTTGGTTGCGAGTTAGTAATGTATGTAATACGTTATTTTATTAAATAACTATGTTGTCTATAAAATTTAAATATGTTCATTAATATATAACAAGTTTACGTTACTAGTAATATATAAAATACCGATTGGTTTCGTATAATGTGAATTTATATCATTAGGATAGACTAGACCGACTGGATTAGATAAGGCCAACAAATTTGTTACCGTTTGTTATTAGCAATACGTATTT